TTAGACCCCTGGCATGGAACACACTATATACTATGTAGGCCATGTTACCCTGGAACTCAGAGATCTTTCTGCCTTTGCCTCCTGAATGTTGGGATTAAAGATGTGTGCCACACCCAGCCTGCCAGCACCCATTTTAGCCAAACTCTGATGAACTCTGTGAAGATACGTTTAGGGTGTATGTGTGTGTCAGGGGAGGGGGTAAATTTCACGTCTGAAAAGAACCATGTAGAGAGAAGGAAGATTCAAAGTTTGGGGGAAGAGTGTCAGGCAAGCCCTGAGCTCCCCTGGGCAGCTCTTTAGCAGCAGCCGCAGCAACAAGAAGCAGCAGCAAAGAACTGTGCACCAGCCACTCACCTCAGCTAAGAAATCAGCTTCGTTGTCTGCTAAGATGTTCAAGCCAGAAACAGCATTGAAGAGCTCCCACTCATTGAGGGCTTCCTTTACTCCTCCTTTCTGGAAAAACTAGCAATGACATGCAAATGGTCAGAACATCAGCAAGGTTCTCCCAGGCTAGCATGCACAAGCTGCACTACACTCCTTCACTGTTTTGCAGCCACTGAGGTTTTCCTCTCAAGGTTAACTAGGCTCTACACAACATTGTCTGTCTTCAGTAACTTCCACTTCCTGGTTCCTCTTCTTCAGTTATACATGTGGTGCCCTGTGTACAATGACTGCGGACAGATGCCATGCAGTCACCAAATGCCATGACTTACAATTTTTAAGCAGGTGCACAGGTCAGCTACAGTACAAAGTTACTCTCTCACTAGGTCTGCTGCTAGCAAGTCCTTTCCTTTAGAAATGGGAACCAGATGGGACCTAACTCTGTGTTTAGGGAGTGAATTTCAAAGTGTTTTCGCTCTACCTTGAAGTGACAGTGAGCAGACAGCAGACACTGTCCCACTGAGGAGACCGTCCTCCTCCTAAAAACAGGAACGGGAGGAAGTATGCAGGCTTGCCACGTTCCAGCTTTGGTTCATGCATTACGCATGCATTAAGTCTACTCACTCCTTAAACAGCAGCGGACAAACCAAAAACTTAATCTGTTAGAAATGGAGGCCACGTGAATAAGTGAATTCTGAAAAATTCTTCTTTATCTCCTTATCCTGAAGACAGCTGGTATTCCTTCAATTTCTACAAATATAGTTTTATTGGGAGAAAAATATTTGAACTTGTTACATCCTTTAGAAGGCAATGCTTTGCACTTACTTGTGAAACATTCCTACAGTCCCGGAATAAGAACTCCAGGCCATGAGGATGGGTTGGTTCTACAGACTGGCTGACGTCAATTAACCAGACCTAGGTAACACAAAGCACAAGACTAATGGATTTACACTCACTAGTTTACACCAGAAAATGTCCCTGCATATTAATTGAAATGTGCCCCTTACCTTTCCAGCATGCCACAGCATGTTGTACTCGCTGAGGTCAGCATGCACAAGGGTGCATTCGTTATATAATTGCTGCATCAACTGTGAGAAGGAAAATGAAGGCACAATTCTAATATTCCTCTATTAAATCAATTAAATTACTAATTAAAATGAATGTGTCAACAAATACTTCCCAGAAAAACAAGTTAAAAACCTATTTCCTAGGTGACAGTGATGCCTCTAATCCCAGCACTCAGGAGGCAGATCTCTGTAAGTTTGAGGTCAGCCTGGTCTACAGAGGGAGTTCCAGGACAGCTAGGGCTATACAGAGAAACCCTATCTTGCAAAATAAAACAACAACAAAAAACAAAACTCTTCCTTCCTTTTGTATTTATTTTTGTTTTGGTCACACTCCTCTGAACCCAAAGATGCATACACACATTCTACAGTGGAGTCATAGGCGCAACCCAAACCCTTACTTGCCTCCTCTTTCTCTACAATCCAGTGCTGCTGCACTTCTGTTACTGTATTAGCGGTGTTTAGGGGAATGAGGGACAGCAGGACACTGTCAGAATGCATGTGTGCCATTTTGCTTCCTTGCTGTGACAGCTGAATCAGGCTCAGATTCCAATGGCACCGTTACCTAACCATGGTACCAAGGCAAGCCGCTTCCCTCTATAAAAGGACAAGTATCCCACCAGACCGCCACAGAGCATACACAATTTCAATTTCAAGTGAAAATGTATTTACTATTTCCTGCTAGTGATGGTGGAAGAGACGTTCTTGTTTGTGAGCCAGTGTCTTGGTATGTAGCCTAGGATGGTCTTAAACTCATGAACTTTCTGCCTTAGACTCCCAAGGGCTGGGATCCCAAGTGTGTAGCACATGTGGGTTCCAGCCTTTAAAATTAAGCAGCATCGTATATTCATGGTTAATGATGACCCTCACTTCTCCATTTGCCAAGGTTGGTTTGCTACCTCTAAGAGAACTACACAACAAAAGCTCATCACGTCACCTCTTTCCCAGCCCCGCACTGTCCAAAACATCCAGAAAAGGGTTTCTTTTCTTTCACTGTTCTCTTGGCAGTGGAGTGGCTTAACCTCTTTAATTGTATCTCTTGTGTTCATAAATGTATACATGTGAGGTGTAAATGTGCATGCATGTGAATCCAGAGGTCCATGTCAAGTGTCTCCCCCTATTGCTGTCCACCTTTGTTCTTGAGACAAGGTCTTGAGACCTGGAGCTCACAGATTCAGCTAGACTAGCTGGCCAGCAAGCCCCTGGGATCCTCCTGCTTTCTCCTCAGGGCTGGGTTAAGGCACACACCATAATACTGACTTTTTACAGGGATACCAAGGGTGCAAATTCAGTCTTGGGCTTATACAGAAGTATACTGGTTTCAAATCCACTCCCTGCCCATAAGTTCCCTGTTTGCATTGGCGACCAGAAGCACTGTGATGAAACCAATGCTGAGGATATCTGTACCACATCTCAATAAATTATTGGATAGTATTTTATATTCACATTAGCTGCTCCGTGTAAACACTGTGTGACTCACAAACACAGCAGAGGAGGTATGAAAGCACTGAGGACATTTTCTTAAGCTGCAGGCTTCATATTTAATCCAGTTGTTCCCAAACACAAGTAACTCAAGATTCCTGACACGGCTCTCAGACTGTAGTCCCTGCACCTGCTACCACCACTCCCACATCTTCACTTTTCATCACTTCATCATCATGATGTCATCGGCTTCCCTCTGACTTCTCAACAGGAGCTGTAGGCCCTTTCTTTTCTTTTTCTGTTTTTGGTTTTTCAAGATGAGGTTTCTCTGCGTAACCCTGGCTGTCCTGAAACTCTAGATCAGGCTGACCTCAAATTCAGAGATCTACTTGCCTCCACCTCTCAAGTAAGTGTTGGGATTAAAGGTACTCAACATCATGTAGGCCCTTTCATTATGGCTAAAGAACCATAAGTCTTAGGGAGTCAGACAGAGGGATTCCATCTGCTAAACTTGACTGAAGAAGTTCTGTGAAAAACGGTTTCATAGTCTAAGAATGAAGCTTGCTTTGACTCCATGAATATCTTAAAGTTTTCTTAAACTATTCAACAATGGCCTTCAACTTGCAATCCTTTAGCCGTAACTGCCCAAGTTGTAGGATTACAGGCAGCTCTAGTTTGTTAAAAAGATTATTTCTGTTTACTTTGTGTGTATTTTTGAGTTCCTGAATGCACTGTATATGCATCAGATCCTCCAGAACCTAGAACTACAGTGGTTGAGTCACCTGTCTTTGGTGCAGGAAAACGAACCTTGTCTTCTACAAAAGGGGCTTGATCATCTCTCTAGAGTCCCCCACTTAGACAGTGTCTCATATAGAGTCCATTTGATTGAAGCTTAATATGTAGACAAGGCTGGCCTCGAACTTGTGACCATCCTCCTGTCTCTGTCTTCTCAAGTGCACAGGTGTGCACCACCATGCCTGTCTAAAAGACAACTTTAGTGTCAACAATCCTTCATGAAATTCTATTTATCCTTCCTACGCTTCAAAAATATGATTCCATAATTTTTAAAAATGATTATCATTACTAAGATAGGTTCTTGTGCTATGCTCCCCAGGTTGGCCTTGAACAGCTGGGTTCAAGTCCCTCAGCCTCCCGAATAGCTGGGACTACAGGTACACTCTAACCTGGGTGGAAGAAGTGCATTTACAAGTCAGTGCATAGGAGCTATAAAGGAACAACTTACATGGAGAGTCTGATAGTAGGCGTCCTTCATTTCTTCACTACTAAGCTTCACTTCTTTTAATTTAGGGGCTGGAACTTGATCATGGCCAATGAAAGACATAACTAAAATATGCTTCTTAAGCTGTACAACTGTTGGACAAGGAATTCCAGCCTTCTGCATTCTGTATAGAAAGAAATGATTAAGAATATAAAGATCAGAAGGAGAAAACATGTCATTAATTCAACAAACAACTAACTAGGGCCTGTGTTGAGCTGGTACTACACTGTACATAGGAGATATGGGAACACAAAACCACTAAGATACAGCCCACTGGTAGGAAAGTTGGCAGGTGGCATGGCATGGTGTAAAGGTTAGCACAAGTGTGGCAGGTGTCCTGCCTGCGCTGGGAGTCCAGAAAGACTATTCAACAGAGAGCTTTCATACAAATGACAGGATATCTGGGCAGATGATACCTTAGCCTTAGTTTGCCTTGAGTGTCAATGAAGAAGGTAAATGGCTTTGCATTACAAAGTATGAATTTTGGTTCAAAGTATGGAGATGCTTTCTGACAAAAGCCTTGGGAAGCACTAGGAAGCCACGGCCTTTGTTATTTCTGTAAATCAGCTCAAAACACGGCATGGGTCTCGGCCTGGCTAGCAGCCCTGACACAAAAGGGAATCCCAAGGTCACCTGCAGCACTGCTGCTTTCTTTACCTTGTAAGATTGTGCATTTCTTTCTCTGCCCACATGCGGATGATCTTACGTGGATTTAGTTTACTGAAGCGATCTTTAAACCTGAAATCATCTTTAATGTATTTGTCACGATTCTTAAACTCATTAAGGGTTGTTTTAAATACCTTGATGGCACATTCGGTTGGTATAGCTGTACCATCTTCCTTGTCATCCTCCAGGCTGAAAGGAAGAAGAACAAAGTCAACAAGTTCCTGGTGGGCGCACAGTAAGACGGTCTCAGACTCCATTCCACTCAAGTATGCCTACTTTGTTTCAAACTGTCATCCTATTTTGTCTTTTTTTTTTTAAAAAAAAAAACCTTCAAGTTTTATTTTAATAAAGCATTGGGTTTTAGGAGGTCTTGCTATGTTTCCTAGGATGGCTGGAATTCCTAGATCTAAATGATCTTCTTGCCTAAGCTTTCCTAGGATCTGGAACTTCAGACAGATACTGTTGCTCCTAGCTGCTTTTGTTTCTTTTAATAAAACATACTTTCAAATGAACTGCCAGATACTTTTCATCAATCTACAATATAATGTTCTGTATTTCATCACTATAGAATCAAGCTTGACAAATAATGAGGAAATATTCTTCCTAAAACTATTATGACCTTGGATGCTTTGGGAGCAAAACTCAACAAAATTAACACTTAGAACAGTTTTTTACAAATAATTCCTTCTCTCTTGGCAGACGGGTAAGAGTAAAGGGCCCTCCCTTGTGAGTATCGGGGCAGAGAACAGAGAAGCAGTGCGAATGGCTCCGGAAAAGCAAACAAGACTGTGCAGGTCAGCGGCGCTGGAAGCAATCGGATTTGAACAGTGTTGACAGACACTCAGGAGCTGAGGAGCCTGAGGAACCTCAAACACTGCAATTAAACCTTGACTAGAGAGAGGAAATGAAGGTGCAGATGACAGGCAAGAGGCAGGCAAGTTGCAAAGAGCTTAGACATTTCTCCAAAGTCAGCAGGAATCATGAAGGCTTCTGAGCACTGATACTCTCAAAAACACACTTCATGAAGATCAAGTGACCAGAGTTCAGGAGGAGCAAGAGAGGCAGAGGCTGGGCTGACTCGAGATGTTTGACTCCCCAGTGCTAATTGGAAAGGAAGGAAATGGATGGAATTATAGCATCATTTATTTCTAAATGCCTGCAGGTATGCCAATCAGGAAGAGAAAAGAAATGCTTCCAGAGACTGCAATCAAATTAAGCAGCAACCTCTTTCTATACTACACTCTAACAGTTACTTCTCCGTCCAGCCTCAACCATCAAGAGTCCTTTAGGAAGCTCCTCTCTTCCTGTGCCTCGTCAAATCCATGGCCATATCCTTTATGGAGGATATTCGCCTTTCTCTACCTGGTCCTTGAAATCCTGTCTGTGATTAGGGTATGTACCAACATGCCCAGCTCCTCCTCTCTCTAGAATAAGGTCTTGCTGTTGCTCAAGTGCATTCTAAATTCCTAAGAAGCTGGGACTACCTATGTGTATCCTGTCTGGCTTCGTTTGCCCAGCTTAAGACCCTTCTTAACCACATCTACTGTGTTTAGACCATGCTATTCCTGTACTTCTAACATTTACTGCCAGGTAAAAGTATACATCTGTTGATTAGGACAAAACGGAAATTATGTAATACAATTATGGGCAGAGCTGAAGTCTTTACTCTAAGCCTGTGGCTGACTCCCTCCCTCCCAACCTGTCCCAGGACAATTGCTGTCTTTCTAGAGCCGAGGACACACACAGTGGTGACCAATCTTGGTTATCAGCTTCACTATATTTGTCATCAACCAAAACCCAAGCAGCTGGGAGCACCTGTGGGAGATTTTCTTGATTGGACCATTTGAGGAGAAAGACCCACCCCAAATGTGAACCACACTCCTTGTGGCAGCCCACAGAAAAGGACAAGGGAGGCCTGCTTGCCCTCACTCCTGGCAAGTTCACCCACCTGCTGCTGAGGCCTCCCTTCCCTGGTATTAGAACCCACTTCTTCATGATGCCAAGGCAGACTGAAGAGCAGCTGCTCTCTAGGATTCCCAGGGACTCCAGCGTCAGATGGAGACAGCAGAGACATCAGTCTCCTGGACTGAACAACTACCAGGTCCTTGGCCTTTCCATCGGGAAACAACCATTGTTGCACTAACAGACCAGAGCTTGTGAGGAATTCTAATAAATCATCCTTCTTTAAAATATATACATATATGTATGTGTACAATTCAAAATATATACATATGTGTATGTGTATAATTTAAAATATATACATATGTGTATGTGTATAATTCTATCACTTCTGCGTCTTTAAAAAAGCCTGACTAATACACATACAGAAATATCTCCAGAGAAGCAGCTGGAGACGGTGTACTACATACTTCAACTAGCTTGTTCCGGGGCTCTCCTGTCTCCTCTCCATCTACCACAGGGGCACAGGAG